TATAGACATGGTATTTAAGACTTATCAAAAGATGCTCAACATGGGCATCAAGCCGACCAAAGATATTTACACTACCCTTATCTTTTTTCATCTTCGGCGGAAAGATATTTACGAGGCATCTGTTTTATATAAACAAATGACAGAGAAAGGCATAGAACATGATAATTATTTATTTGCTGCTTTAATTTATCTGCGTGGAATACTTGATGATTCGGAAGGTGCCAGAAAAACATATGACAAAATGAAAGAAGTTGGAATTATTCCTAACACAGTGTCATTCAATCAGCTCATATATTCTCACGCTCGTGACAGAAAAGTAAGTGCTTCGCAGATCGAAGCTTTGTATCTCGAAATGTTGGCAGAAAAATTGGAGCCAAATCATTATACGTTTGAACTACTTATTGACGCAATGTCTAAAAGACATGCATTTGCAAATATATGTGAAGCCTTCAATGAAATGTCCAAAAGAAACATTCCTATAACAGATGTAGCTTACAACTCTCCGATCCGTCATCATGGATTAGCGGGAAATACGGAACTTGCTTGGAAATTTTTCAACCGAATGATTTCTGCAGGAATAGAACCATCTATGTATATATATACTTCTATAATATCCCTTGCTACTGCATCATCCGATTTTGCAATGGCTATTAAAGCTTTCAAAGATCTCTTAGCACGTGGACTCACTCCCAATGTTCATGTTTATTCAGCTTTTATCACTGCGTTGGTAAAATCAGGGAATATGGATAAAGCGATTGAAATGTTCGATCATATGGTTAACGATGGTGTATCTCCTAATCATGTGACTTTTACATCGTTAATTCAAGGTTTTGCGATTAAGAGGAATTATGAAAAAGGTAAAGAAATGTATGAAATGATGAAAAGATCAAATATTATTCCAGATCGATTCACATTTTATCACTTGGAGAAATTGTACAAACAAACTGGACACATTGAGGAGATTGAAAAGCTTTACGAAGATATTAAAAGATACGGGTAGTGTAAATATCTTTGGTCGGCTTGATGCCCATGTTGAGCATCTTTTGATAAGTCTTAAATACCATGTCTATA